AAGAAGTAACTTCTGTTCTTCTAGCCAATGCAGTCTGGTCTGCTTGTCCTTTCAAGTGGAAGTTTCCCACCTCAGAAGATTCTGGATGGGGTTGAGGATTCCACCTATGGTCTTATGTAATGCAGAGGCTCTGCAGGAAGCCTCCTTCACTGGGCACATTGTAGCCCCATTTTAGATATTACAATCAGTTATAAGCAGAAGATAGACTTACAAGCTTTCTATGGTGATATTTCTGGCTATTCCTTTCACTCTCCCTCAAGTGTCTATTTTATAATGGTATGCCAGGGAAACCAAGTTTCAAGAGACAGGCAAGCATCTTAACATTATTTCTCCCCCTCTTGCCCATTTCAACCATGTCTCAATTCCTGTATCCCAGAGTTCTGTTTTTCCAGGGTTATGCATACATCATTATTTACCTCTTTGTATGTGGAGGACCACTTAGCCCATGCAAACCTGCCTAATTGTTTTCCCGTCCACTTTGTTCTTCCATTCCCCTCCCTCTCTTGTGTATTGACCTCGTCCCTAGCACCCAAACTATCCTGTGTCTATTCCCTACCCTGTGCTCCAGCTTCCCCTCCCTCCCCTCACACCACCCCCCACATCCAAGTAACCAGCAAATAATCTGAAACACCCCCCCCCCTTTAGTAGGGGTTCTTTTTCTGAGTCTTTTACAGTAGTGGTCCTATGAAGTATTTCTCCTTTTCCAACTGACTAATTTTACTTAACATATTGTCTTCAAGGTTCATCCATGTTATTCGGTGGCTTGCAGCTTCCTTGTTATTCTTCAAGGTAGCATAATATTCCATTGTGTGTATACAACAGTTTGTTTATCCATTCTTCAGTTAATGGGCACTTAGGCTGTCTCCATCTTTTTGCTATTGTAAATAGTGCTGCTATGAACATTGGTTTTTTTATTGGGTTATTTGTCTTTTTCTTATAGAGGTGTTGTAGTTTCCTATCTATTTTAGAAAAGATTCCTTTGTCTAATGTGTCGTTGCAAAGATGCTTTCCCATTCTATGGGTTCCCTTTTTACTCTTCTGGTAAAGTCTTTTGATGCACAGAAGTTTTTAATTTTTTAATATGTCCCAATCATCTATTTTGTCTATTTTTGATTGTATAATTTTCAAAATGTTT